TATTGTGAAAAAATCTCTTTGTTCTTTCAAACAATAAGTCACCTTGTGATGTATTTGGGAAAAATCCAAGGAAGTGCCAAGCTTCTGCAATTCCCACCTGCTGGGAGCAGCAGGTGCTTGGCATTTGCTGTGGTGAAGCTCCTGAGACAGGTTCTGCCCTCAGTTGCGCTCACGTAAATACAACATAACTTTGCTGGCACTGGCTGAATTATCCCAGATGAAATTCAAGGTAAACAACAGCAGAATCTCTCCTTTTCATTTTTTTTTCGTGGCACCAGAGGATTATAATGGCTACGTTAACATTAGAAGAGATCGATTTTTGCAAGATGACAAAAGAACACACTGATCTCACTGCTGCGAGCTCCTACTCAGCAGACAATTGCATCCCATCTTAGAATAGAGTTTTAAAAATGTTCACAGTAATGTGCAAGCACTTACTTCTAATGGCTTAAAAAGGAATTTTATAATGCTAATGTCTTCACATTACAGATATGATGCATCTAGAGAGCAAAGGCTTCTATTTAAATCTGTAGCAGCTTTCAAAGATATTTGGACCAGAATTTTCCATTTAGGCACCTCTAATTTCGAGACTTCAGAATGTGCTGCTGGGAGAGACAGAGGTTGATATGACCTCTACAAAGGGTCCTGCAATGATATTATGGTCCATCTAAATTACCAGTTTTGGTCAGTCATGTATTTGCAAAGAAAACATCCACCAAACAAAAAGTTGTTTTATCAGTCCAACCTCTAAACAAATACTCCCCTGCCACACTACAGAATACAGCAGCCCCCACTTTAGTCTTGGCTACTGAACACAAGTTGAGAGCAGCAAGGAAAGGTAACTTGCAGGAACTTAGTTGTCCACCACTACTCCCAGGAGCACGGGCCAGGCACCACCCACCTGTGCTGAAGGAGACTGAGCACAGGAAGGAGGTGAAAATAGAATGTTTCCAGATCTTTATATTGTGTCTTTTTCTTGCTTGAGAAAGATGTACCTGAGAAATGTCCTGGAGTGCTGCAAGACACAAACCAGCTTTCTTAAATTAATCCATTTTTTCCCACTGTCACACACAGGCTCCCCCAAAAAAACAATGTGGGAGAGGAAGAAAAGCATGCAACTTTCTTTTCAGACATGCTTATTATTCCACAATCCTCTAACCTAATTGTAGTGCATTTTGCATCATTCACCTTTTTTTTCGCAATATATGTAATTAATTTTTCAGTCAGCACTTCTGTGTGCTTAATAAACATGTTTTAGGCCAGCCTGCATCACAACAGTACCTCTGTCCCATGGCTTTTTCTTTCAAAATTGACTCCTCTCTCCCCTCCTACTCAGACGTTATTAGTCCTTCTCTTGTTCCTAATTTGAAGATCAAAATGAGCACAAATTACGAATCTCAGTAATAAACATGATCTCACAGCAACACAAAGAAGAGGATGAACAAAATAAAAATTACTGTCTGGTGAAAGCTCCCTTGACAACTACAGCTACACTGACAGGCGCCACTGAAATAATAAGAATGATGCTTCAAAACAACAGCCAAGAAAACAGTTATGAAAGAGAAAAAAAAACAGTCTAAATGGATCTTTTCAAATGCAGATTCCACTGTCAAGTGAGTAGAATGAGAAAAATGTTCTTTCTTATAGCACAGCCATGTTTAAACTCTGACAGATTACAGGAAACCACTAAGAATGTGAGTACAACCTGAAAGATCCTGGGCCCAACAGTCCATTTTAGGAACATTAAAATGAATCAGAATGGAAGAGAAGGATCGTGTTTTGGGGATGGAGAGGAAGGATGGAAGGTGTCATCTCATTAACAAATCTTTAATTGCTTCCAACTGGGTGAACAACAAAACTAATGTTGACTTCAGTGCAATACCAGGCATTTGCAGGCTTGTATCTGCATAACTACCACTATGTAAGTGAAAAACTGCATAGAATAGAACCAGAAGATTAATGAACATGAAAAATTATGACCCACCACTAAAGATGTTCCATCCAAAACAGAACTAAGATAACACTCACGAAGAAATGTTGCCCATGGCTTAGGGAGGCAAATAGGAAAAAGCATTAGCCTTCCTCTGGCAATAATGCTATAGTGTGAACACTTAGGCACTTCTCCCAACTTAGCTTCACACCCATAAACTGAGGAAAATTGCTTAAGTACCGCTGTGGTCACAGGTATCTGGTGGTCAGCAGGTATTTCAAAAGCACCAGGTGGATTCTGTAAAATCCTGCAACAACCACAGCATCTCCAGAATTACCTATGGCTCCTCAGCAGGCAGAAAGTGCAGCTCTTGGGAGCAGCAGTGGAGATCCAGCTGCACAAGAGCTTCTGGCTGGACTGAGTCAGAGGTCGGGGGGGTAATGGAAAGAAAGGGTAGAGAAAATGTAGCAGGGAGGGTGGAAAGGAATAATGTGCACAGAGTGAGCGGTGCTTTGGTGTGGTACATTTTATTTGTTGCTATTTTACATCCCTATTGTGAAGTACTACTGGTAACATGGCAAAGTTTATTGGCTAAAAGTTCCAGTCACAAATGCATAGGCAACACCCATGTTAGCAGAAACAAACCCTTTTTTTCTAGTACTGAATGCACTCAGAGCTCCAGAAGTTTGGCTTGGGCTCTTGGGCTTGCATTCCTCCCCAGAGAAAAATGAAATCTGCAGAGGAGTCATGTATTTCTCCTCCATTTTATTCCACACACCCGAGACACCTAATAAATTTGCTCTGACTTCTCATTCTTCCCTAAAACAAAGGAAAAACTTAGAACCAGAAATATCTTTTTGCTCCTTGGGGGCTTGGCAGAGACATGTAGGGTTGTTTCCCACTTTTACATAATGAGATTTAAAATAAAAAAAAACAAACCCCAAACAAATATAACAAATAAGCAATAAAACAACAGAGTGCCCAGAAAAGATACAAGGACTTTGTCAGTTCTTGCCAGAAGTACTGACACCAAAAGCACATCAGGAGTGAGAATAAAAAACTAATGGTTACATAGATCATAAGAACGTCCTAATAGTAAAGAAAAACAAAAAGTTTTGAAGGGCATGTAATTCTGAAGACTGACCCAGTCAGCCTTTTAGTACTCACTTGGAATACTGAGCAACTTTTGATCTGTGTTTATTCTCTATCTATGTACTGTAATTTCTTGCATGTTTCCTTACAGTGGAATATACAAAACAGAGTCGGTGATCAGACTGCATGGCTCACTACCTGCTCCACGGTGGTAAAACAACTGTCCCCTGCTCTCTCGGCAATGAACAAACTGCTTGGATCCAAACCTGAGATCGAGCTCTGGGCAACCCTGCCCAGGGAAATTCAAATGTGGATTAGTCTTGAGAGAGGGAAGAGTCCGATTAAACCCTGGTTCAGCCACAGGCACGGATAGTTCCCAGAGCCAAACCTGGGGATGCTGAGACCAACATCTGGGGGTGAAGAGACCTTTTGCTAAACCGCACTGCGAGTCTGCGCGTGGACTGTGAGAGACACACTGAGCCAAACCCATAGCCCAGGGCAGAGGAGCACTGGTGCAGCTCGGAGTAAGAGTCACTTCTAAAACTAGGATAGTGAGGATAACTGAAGTTCTCACTCCGTGCCACGGTCACTGCACCCTGAGCTCCCAGCACTGCACGGGGGGCTCAGACCCCATGCTTCAACCTACCCCAGATGTGGAGGACTTGCCTGTTGCAGGGGCTGCACCCCCCAGCCCAGCATACCCCAAACTCCAGACCTCGGCAGCAGGGAACACCTCTCCCTGCCTTTCGCTGAGCTACATGTCAGAGAGAAACATGCCTCAGCGCCTAAACCACGCCAGCTGCCGAAGGGGAGGAAGAGCAGGGAGCCACTTACGGGGATGTGCACTCGCAACATGAGTTTCTTCTGGCCGGAGCTTTTCCTGCTGCTGGAGGCATCTTTCTTCTTGTCCATGGCAGTGCTTCCCATCCCTTCACCCAGGCGTGGTGCTGAGCGATGGATCTGGAGAGGGAGGCTCCTCTTCCACCTCTCCCCACCGTCCCACGGGCCGCAGTTACTCCAGGCTCCTTATTTTGATTTTTCTTTTTTTTTTTTTTTTTTTTAATGGCCTTAGGAAATTGGGGGGGGGGGGGGGGGGGCGGAATAGGGGGAGGGGGAGAATGAGAGAAGCAAAGGGAGGGGGAGGAGTTTCTCCAGCTCCGGTTTTTAATCCCAGCAGCGAGGTGTCAGGGGGGACCTTCGCAAGAGCATGAGATGCCCTTACAGACGCTGCTCCCTTTCTCACTCTTCCGCCCTTTCAAAAATATCCGGAGCATCCTGGGGGGGGGGGGAGAAAGTTTCCTTCCCCTCGCCCAGCCCGGCCGCACTCTCACCGAAAGAGAGAGAGAGAAAAAAAAAAATTAAAAAACACCCGAACGCCACAAAACCCTGAAAAGGGGAAGGCGCTCGGGCGACGCTCCTGGCAGAGCGGGGAGTCCCGCGGGGAGCCCGGCCGGGGAGGGAGGGAAGGAGGGAGGGAAGGAAGGCAGGAGATGGGAGGAGGTGCCCGGGTGCTGCTGAGAGCCCCGGCCGGGTCGCCACGAACTGCAGAATGAGCACCAAGGAACTTTCCCGCAGCCGCTTCCCCCGGCTGCCGCTCGCCCCGCCGGCCCCTGTGCGGGGGGAGAGGAGCTGGAGCTGCGCCTGCATTCCCGGGGCTGCCGGAGCGCGGCGGTGGGCGAAAAGGCTGGGCTTCACCTTGCCAAAAACGCCCGAAGGCGGCGCGGTTCCTTTCCCTCCCGACCTCCCAGGCTGTTCCCTCGCCTCCCTCCCCACAGGATTTCTCCCGGCCGTGCCCGAGAGGAGGGTTATTTCCCCCGAGGCAGTGCTTCCCACCCCTCGGTCCCCGCAGCCCGGCCCGGCGGCTGCAGCGGCCCCGGGACGGCCCCGGGCTCGGCGGGAGCCCCGCCGGGCTCATTCCCGCTGGGCAACCCCCCTGGCTGCCCTCCCTTTCCCCCCTCCCTCCCCCGGGCTGACAGGGAACGCTTGCCAAGCCCAGGAGGGCCGCGGTCCACTCCTGAACACGGATTTTTTTTTTTTCCGCTCCCTCCCTCCAAAAAGCCTTCAGCGCGCTTGCAAACTCAGCCGGGCGAGAGAGGCGGCTCAGCCCCCGCGGGCGAATGGATTTGGCGTCACAGGGTATCGGAGAAGGAATCGCTTCCAACATCCCTTCACCTGTGGCTGCGCCGCGCTGCAGCTCCAGAGCAAACCCGTGCCAGTGCCACCCCTGCTGCCAGGCAGGATTCCAGGGCTGAGAGTCTGGGACCGCAAAGAGAGAGAGAGAAAGAGAGATGTCTTTAGAACAGCAAGTGGTTTCCGTACACATAGAAACAAACATACATTCTGGATCAAAATACGAGGTTTTGGTTTAGAAGTGACTCTTCTTCCCTGGACAATCTTTGCACCCTTTTATGTCGCCTGAATTTGACAATGAGACAAAGCCTGTTACAGCCACAGACCTTTGACCCCATCACTTAAAATCAGGTTTTCCCTGGGTTCAAAGCCTACACCCTAATTACCTCCAACAAATCTCACGGGATTCTATAAAACAACAATTTATAAATCTCGAGGGAGAAGGGGGAAGAGTTTTCCTCAAAAATCTTATCTTCTGCAAAAATACAGGATTGTGGTGGTAATCTTCAAGAAATACAAGAATTCAGATTTATTTCCCTCCTTGTGGAAGTCTCGGTATTTAATGGATGCAAAGTTCTGTCAGGTATAAAGTCTGTAGCCACTTCTCTAAAACCACACAGAATTAAATAAGAATATGAACCCTCTTCTTTAATGTTGTAGAGAACTGTCTTGTAGGTTCCTACGGGAATCACGGAAGGCAACAGACCCAGAAATGAGACTGCAGGGGTTAAACAACATTGTCACCAGGTCAGGAAGGGATGTTAATGGCACGTGGACGGAGGAAGCAAAATTCCCCGGACAGTAAAAAGGTGTCTGGGGCATCCAGGGAGCTGCACCAAAATAGAGGAGGTCTGTAACACCCGCTTTATATAACATTTATATAACTTTTTTTGCCAAAGAAGTGCTGCTGCCAAGGGATATGGGAATGACTGACCCCTGGAATAAAGAAATGAAAAAAAAACTAATAAACATGCTTGTGAATAAACCGTCACAACAGTTTTCATTCCTAGTATGGTCCTGAAAGTTAAAAAGTAAGGCAAGAAAAGGTAGAATTTCTATAGAAGTATTTTAGCACTGGGTATTGTAAGCAAGCAGGTCTCCTGGACATTCTTTATTAAATTAACATACATTTGAGGTGGAATAAAAGCTACCATATAAATAACCCATTCTCTTGTTTATGCAAAATTGTATCCTACAACATTATAATTTATTTTCTACATTTAGTATTTTAAGCCAAAATTAATTCTTTTTTCTTTTTGTAGACTATTTATATGAATAATTGTGGATATTGTAAAATAAGTTTCAGAAAGTAACACAAAGGCAGTATGACCAAACTCCCAAACCTAAAAACCCCCCATGAATCATCCTCTCCTCCATCATGATATTGCCTTAAGCATGTTTATAACTTTGAGAATACCACAATGGGGGGTTATTCTTATTTTTATCCTTTGATCCTCTAAGATCCCAAATACGGCCCTTGATCCTCCAGTCATATTTTTAAACTTTTCATTACAGCTCTGAGGATTAGAGACACATTAAAAAAAACAATAAAAAAAACCCAAAACACAACCCACAACAAACAAACAAACAAACAAACAAACAACAGAACAAAGCCAAAGTTCTCCTACAGCTGCTAGACTTCAGGAGCTTGACTCTTTGTAAAATCAAATGTTAATAAGACCCTGCTATAAAATAAAGGAATCACTAGTTGTTTCAGACATTAAGGCATTATGTTTTTATCCTTCTTTTTTTTAAATTATTTTTCATGGATAAATGCAGCCGGCATATGAACAAGCAACACTGTAACTACTTTTAATGAGAGTTAAAATTACTTTTTCCACGTTAAATCCTGTCAATTTGACTACCAACAACCATGTGTTCAGATGCATGTAAGCACCTAAATTACTAATTTCACAGACAAATGGGTACCAAAATACTTTTGAGAACATCACAGAATCACATGGTGGTTTGGGTTGGAAGAGACCTTAAAGATCATCTGGTTTCCAACCTCCCTGCCACGGACTGGGACACCTTCCACTAGCCCAGGTTGCTCCGAGCCCCAGACAATCCCACTTCCAGGGGTGAGACATCTACAGTTATTGCCCTAAGTACTCAAAGGGTTCATGCACCCTCAGGGGGGAAAGCAGAGCAGCATTTCAAACACACCAGCCACACTTTGCCTCTCCCTAACACCACCCAGTGCTCCCCCTTGCCGTAACTCGGCCATACCTGTAACTCAGCAGAAGTAGCACGTGCATTTTGGGCTACACCCTGTCACAGGACCTGCCCTAGTTAATCCTTAAATACAGGTTGAGTCAATTTTTCCATAATAAATTTCCAGAGTACATTCCTAAGTTTATAAAACAGCCATAACACTTTGCTTTGAGCCTTGGTTGTATCGATTATAGTTGCTGTAAGGAAAACAATACGTCACCAGGAAACTTTTGTGCTGGGATTTCACATGCAATATATAGAGATTTTTTTAAAGACTTTAAGTGAAAAAGTGTATCTAAAAGCAGTGGCACATGGAGAGAACTATGTGAGCTGATGGTGAGTTTTAAATCTTTATTAAACCCAGCATTTTTTGCTTTAAAGTTTGTTGTTAGTAATACTGTCAAGCACTCATATACTGTATTAGAGAAAAAAAAACTATCTGTGAAAATATTTATTATTCCTTCTCCTCAGATGACATATAATTATCTTACTGCGAGCATTTAATGTAGATTTTTCACATATGCAATCTATAAGTATTTTGCAGGTTCAAAAACATGCAGAAGTGCCATTTTGGGGGACTAATTTTTCAACTATAAAGAATGCCTATATTCTATACCAGAATAAATACTGGAATTTCTCAGATCACATTATTTCTTATGTATGGGTATTTCTTATCTACATATTGTTATTTGGGACTCTCGAACCTTTTTAAAATGTTTCCAGGATTTAAAGACAAATCCTTGAAAATAAAGACATTTTGAAATCTGGATGCCCAAGAGCTTGTCTGGCTGTTACTGGTATCCAGTATCCCAGTATCTACTATGCTTCATCACAGCTATTTTTTTCTTTGTTTTTTTCTTATGCTGGTCTTCGTCCATGTTGGTCTCTGCGCTTCCTCCTCTGCCTGTCCCTTTCTGCTCAGGTTTCACCTCTTGTTCTCATCCTTCCAATTTTGTTCTCCATCTTTTGTCTGTTCTCCAGTTTGCTGCTCAGTTCCTTGAACATGCATGAAGCTGATTGCTGTTGGTTTCTGTTCAGTACATTTATTAGATTGAATTCGACCCTGCTGCATAGAGCTCCTTAATTTAATTATCAGCACAATGTAATTAACCTGCTGCAGTATTGGGATGCAGCAGTCCCTGCACAAGCCTTCTGCAGAGGCCCCAGAGAGGACACAGCCCCAACATCTGTCTGCCCACACTCACCTGCTACCTGCTGACACTGAGCACAGTGCAGGGAACAGACTTCAAGTCAAGTAGAATATAGACTCAACATGAGGAAATACCTGTAGACAGCTAAATTGCATTGTTTGCAGCAAAACTGCAATTAAAATGGTCTTCTGTGGGGAAATTTGCAGGAGAAATTGCAGGTCTGCCAGGAAAGCGCAAGTGGCTGAAGTAAGGTGAGATAATGAGGCTAATGAGAGGATCTTCTGGTCCCCAGAAGGTCTCCAGGAACGTGACAGCAGCAAAGAGTGACAAATGTTTATGCTGAAAAGAGACAGGTTGTGTGGTCTGGCAGCTGTGCTTCCTCTCCAGGCTGTCAGACGCTTCTGGTACCTGAGTGGTTACCGAAATAGATTCTCTGGTCACCTGAAGCCCAGCAGCACACTGTGCCCTGCAGCTCTCTCCCTCCTGCTCACTGTGCTGGTCACTCCAGAGCCGCTGCAGCTGCTTCATCCACTGAGCCACAGAGATGTCCTCTCATCTGGACCACAACACAGAGGAGAGGAAGTGAGAGAGAAGCACTTTCATAGGAACTTTCTAGGCTGTTTCTCTGATTTAATCTGACTGATAATTTCTCTCCAAACAGCCAAAGGCAGGGATGGCTTTTGGGGTTTACTTTCCTGAAAAGTGTCTCCTCTGCAGGACTTGTGCATCTTGACAATTGATCCTGGCTATCAAAAAGTTTCAGAAGTGTTCATTCGAAATGAGTAGGCCCACAGAACAGATTAATTTCATATGTAGAAGGCCATGGCATGGGCACTGAGGCAAGGATTGGCAGGAGGCTCCCCATTTTACCAGCTGCAATGCCTGTCTCAGTATCTCCCACCTTCATAGCTCCACAGCCACAATTCCCACATGAATGCCCACATCCTCCAAGGTACTGACCCCAACAAGGACAGATGCAGGCAGGAAATCAGATGGTGTGACGTGAACCCCATTGTGTGGTTCACATTAGTGCCTGCACTGTTCTGTAGACTATGCAGACAGGTAAGTTCTGTTTCTCATTTGTATCACTGTATTGTAAGAGTAAAACAAGAAGAATACTCTGTCATCTCTGCTAGAAGTTGTCTGGGAGACCTGACTAGGTGCAAACATGAAAAATACATTTTCCTTTTTGAACCACAATAGCTTGATAAAAGACCTTGAGGCTGATTTTTCAAGGTTCACACAACCTCTCTTGGTTCTGAGAGCCAGGAGAGCCTTCCAGTGATCAAAGCATCTTCTGGGACATTATTTTTTTATATTGGTTTCTATATACAAAAAAATTCCATTAACTGAAGTGATGCTGTTGAGCCTCAAGTTTTTTTAGTACTTAAGAGTTACAGAAGAAGTGAACAAAGCCCTTTTAAAGTATCTAATTTCCTCCTTACTGATACAGAAAAATTTCTTTTGTGTTTTCTACTGATTGTGAGTCAGAATTTCTGGCTGTTAGCCAGACACAATACTTAGTGCTTTTGATTTGCATATATAGGCCTACAAGTTAGACAGATAACCTCAATCAAAATTTAATATAGCAGATTATATTCAAAACCAGTGGCAAGATATTCATTTCCCATATAGAACGATTCTTGTCAGTTGTGCAAATTAACACAGAGAAGTACAAATAGAATTCAAGAGGAGCCTGCTTTTCATTTTTTCCCCCTCAATATGCATAATGCAGTACATCAGCTAAAAGAGCATTTAAAG